TGGCTCTCAAGCACAGCAATGTAAATCACACACACACACACACGTGTCTATATATACACATTACACATACATACACAAAGCTGTGTAAATCAACTATAAATAACGAATCTAAGCTTATATACATAAAATACAGAAATGAATGAGGTGGAATGAATACTACAAAATGTACATAAGGTGCAGCTGCAGTCTGGCAGTGGGAGCAGTGTGACAGGTCAACTGTTAAGAAGGGAGATGGCGAGGGGAAAGAAACTGTTCCTGTGTCGGGTGGTCCTGGTCTGCAGGCTTCTGTACCGTCTGCCAGAGGGCAGCAGATCAAAAAGTCTGTGTCCAGGGTGTGAGGGGTCTGTGATGATTTTCCCTGCCCGTTTCCTGGTTCTTGAGAGGTACAGATCCTGGATGGAAGGCAGGGGCGTGCCGATGATCCTTTCTGCTGCCCGTACAGTCCGCTGCAGTCTGCTCCTGTCCTGTTTAGTGGCTGCTCCATACCAGACTGTGATGGAGGAGCACAGGACAGACTCAAGACTATAAGAGTTGTCCCTCCCGAGGAAATGCACAGCGGATTTTATTCAAGGTATTTCCTTGTGCCAAAGAAAGGGGGGAGGGGCATGAGATCCTTCCTGGATCTCCGTGCCCTGAACCGGCATTTAAGGACATACAAGTTCAGGATGTTGATGCAGGCGACTGGTTCACATCAATCGACCTGAGGGATGCTTATTTCCACATCCCAATATATCCCCCACACCGAAAGTATCTAAGATTTGCTTTCCAGGGGATAGCATACAAGTTTATAGTCCTGCCTTATGGTCTCTTACTGAGCCCAAGGGTGTTTGTGAAATGCACCGAGGCAGCAGTGGCCCCGCTCAGGGAAAAGGGCATTCAAGTGGCCACATACATCGACGACTGGCTGGTGGCAGCCCCAACCCGCCAGGAAGTGGCTTGTCACACAAATGCTCTCATACACCATCTGGAGAGTTTGGGTTTCCAGATAAACGTGGAAAAGAGCACATTGACGCCAACTCAATGCATTACTTTCATAGGGCTCAGCCTAGACTCCCTCCGGGTGAGAGCTTTTCTGTCCCCAGAGAGAACAGCGGCCATACGGTCATCCCTAGCACTGTTTCGCAAAGTCAACACAGTGACCCTCAAACAGTGCCAGAGGCTCCTCGGTCTGATGGCTTCTTCTCTAGTGGCGATAACACTGGGACACCTGCACATGAGAGGCTTTCAGTGCTGGGTGGGCTCGCGGGGACTGGACCCTCACCGAAACGGCCACCATTGCGTGAGAGTCTCTGCAGACTGTTCACTCGCTGTCCGCGAGTAGAAGAAGCCAGGTTTCTTGTCTCAGGGCATTGCCATGGGGGCAGTTTCAACCAGGAAGGTGATTTCCACAGATGCCTCTCTTTCAGGCTGGGGGGCCACCCACGAGGGCAGAACAGTGAATGGGGAGTGGGGCCCTCACATGTGCTCCACCCACATAAACTGTCTGGAACTGCTGGCAGTTCACCTGTCGCTAAAACACTTTCTCCCTTGGCTGAGAGGTCATCATGTTTTAGTGAGGTTGGACAATTCCACTGTTGTGGCCTACATCAACAGACAAGGGGGTCTGGGGTCCCCCAAGTTACACACACTGGCACACAGACTGATAGTCTGGAGCAGTGTCCACCTGCTGTCACTGAGAGCAACTCACGTGCCGGGAATCTTGAACTTTGGAGCAGATCTTCTCTCGAGGAGCAATCCGCTCTATGGAGAATGGAAGCTTCACCCAGAGGTGGTGAAGCAGATCTGGCTGCGATTCGGTCAGGCGACCGTGGACATTTATGCATCCAGGGAGAATGCTCAGTGTCCCCTGTTTTACTCGCTGCACGATCAGAGAGCTCCACTCGGGGTGGATGCTCTAGCTCACGAGTGGCCGAGAACCCTCCTCTATGCTTTTCCCCCAGTGGCCCTCATTTCTCCAACTCTGGCCAGAGTGAGGGAGAGAAGTCACTATATGATCCTGATAGCCCCGCACTGGCCAGGGAAGCACTGGCTGGCGGAGATTTTTCAGCAGCTGTGCGGCCATTACCACTACGCAGAGATCTCCTGTCTCAGGCACGGGGGGAAATATTCCACCCCCATCCAGAGAGGCTAGCTCTATGGGATTGGCCCGTGAGTGGTTTAAGCTGAACACGGTGGGGCTCCCTCATAGTGTTATCGACACTATTCAGTGTTCTAGAGCATCGTCTACTAGGATGCTATATGAGCACAAGTGGCGTGTGTTTGAAAGCTGGTGCTTAGAATCACAGGCCATCCCTTTTCAGTGCTCTGTGGCTGTGATTCTGTCATTTCTTCAGGCCCTGATTGATAAGGTTAAAGCCTTCTCCACCTTCAAGGTGTATTTGGCAGCAATTTCAGCCTGCCATATTGGTTTTGAGGGGAAGACTGTTGGCCAGCATCCCTTAATATGCCGTTTCATGAAGGGTGCACGGCGTAAATTGCCTACATCTAGAGTACAATACAATATAAATTTATTTATATAGCACATTTAAAAACCCGAAGGCACATGAAAGTGCTTCACAGTAATATGGAGAGTCAACATAAGTGTCTAGGCCGTTGGCTCCATCGTGGGACCTTCCCATAGTATTAGCTGCGCTCTCCTGTTGCCCATTTGAACCCCTGGAACAGGTTGAGTTAAAATTTCTGTCCTTGAAGACGGCTCTATTGATTGCTTTAGCTTCAGCTAAGCGTGTAGGAGAGATCCACGCTCTCTCAGTGCATCAGTCATGCATTCAGTTCTCCTCGGATAATACGAGGCTCAACCCTGCCTTTATCCCAAAGGCCGGCTTTTTGCCCACCACCTTTCTCCTCAGAGGAGCAACAGCAGCTGCATACCTTGTGCCCAGTCCGTGCTCTGCGCACACCCAGAGTGTCAGACAAAGTGACCAGCTGTTCGTGTCCTGGGCTAAACCACATATGGGAAAGCTTGTGTCTAAACAGCGCCTCTCCCATTGGATAGTAGGAGCAATTGCCCTGGCCTATACTTCGGCCTCCTGCTGGCTTGCGTGCGCATTCCACTAGAGGTTTGGCAACCTCATGGGCTCGCTTTAGGGGAGTTTCTATTCAGGAGGTGTGTGCAGCTGCATGCTGGACCTGACCTCATACATTTGCCAGGTTTTACAGGTTAGATGTGACAGCACCTAACCTTGCGCATTCAGTCCTCAGTGCAGGTTCTTCCCAGGTGGAAGCTTCTCCCCTGTGAAGTGCTGTTGGGGACAGTTGTCTTCTTAACAGGCATGTCTGGTAATCTGGGAGTCAGTATTTCTCCCATAGTGAGACACGAAACAAATGCTATGAAAGAGAACTTAAGGTTATGTATATAACCCCGGTTCTCTGAGTAGCATGAGTGAGTGTCTCATCGGACCGCCCTCCTTGCTATGGAAGCGAGGAAGAGGTGGGCTTGTTTTGAATGACATCTGACGCTATGTCAGCCTATTATATAGGGAGGCACTAGCCCCTCCTGACATGGGCGTCACTTAGCCAGCCCCATAGTGAGACGCTCACTCATGCTACTCAGAGAACCGGGGTTATATACATAACCTTAGGTTAGCTTTAGACAAACCAGCTCCTTCCCTATATTGACTCTCAACTGGGCTAGTGAACTAGTTTTTGAATGTTACTTTGTATCTGGCATTTAGACGAGAGCATGTCGGAAATCTCCCCATTTATGTCTAGGTAAGACAGCTATTAAATATGATTTCAAAACAATGTCAAACTACTCCTTAAGCTATGCCAGAAAATCAGTACAAGTTATTTAGTATGCAAATCAATTCCCTGGATTACTTTCCCCAGCATACTTTATTTCAGTGCTAAATAAAACAGACTGGTCTTGCCTGTGTCCAGAAAAAGAAGAAAAAAAATCATTAAGTCAGGAAAAAAAAAAGTTGTGTTCTCATATTTAAAACTTAAAAGCTCCTAAGGTTTACAGATACACAGCTATATCTACGCTAAAACTAGAGTCATCACCAACTGGAAGCCCTCCAGCCACCAGTTGGTTCATCTTGTCTTTCTACTCCACCCTTGTGTAATGATTTGCAGCTGTTTTTCCTTGCATCTATCTCTATCTGTGGTGAAATTAGTCTACCATTGTGAAGTGCACTTAGTGGTCATTTGTGTGGGTGATTTAGAGACCAAATTTATTATAACACTGTCGCCACTTCTGACTTAAGTGATTGCTGTACTGAGAAGATTAAGTTTTGCGTCTATTAAAAAAATACATTTTTTTCCTTGCTGTTTTTTAAAACAAAACAAATACATGCCATGTTCTTTATACCAACCGAACATCTCCCAGTATATAAAAATAATATGTCAAGAGAATATCCTAGCCATCAAGCACTAATGGTAGCATTACCTTTGATCACAGTGTCAGCATTTAACCCATACACCTCTATTACTACTATAGCAATAGCCCTAATCAATGCAAATAGCTGACTTGATTGACTACCTCCCTGGACTTTTTTTGGGGGGAGGTAACAACGGTAAAAACAATAACAATAATAATATTTATAACAAGGTGCAATAATATTTAATGTGCAATATGTATGACTGTGCAATGACAACAAAGAGTTATCTTATATTATCTTATCAATTTTGTAGAATTTTCAGGAAACAAAAATTGACAATGTGAAAAAAAAATAATAATAACAAAAGGAACTTTAAACTGTCACACTCACTTTATTTGTTTTATTAATCAATTGAATGTACAGTCTGTTAACTTGCCCACACAATACTGTTCTAAATGTACATTATGCGTACACCAAAACAGGTAATCTGGTGGTATTTAGTATTTACTCACAACAGAGTTATACATATATTTGTGTAAGTATATTTAATTGAGAACCCATATTTATTCATACATCTAAGACATGTCAATGTAGATGTTAGGAGTTCTTCTCCAGGAAAGCTTTGCAGCATCGTACACACTGCTCATAGACCTTTTCAAAGTCTTCATCACTTCCCTAAAAGACAAAATTAGGGAGGGGGAGATTAAAATGATTTAGCCAACTATTCATAGCTCGCAATCACTGGAATTTGTTGTCTATTGCACACAGTGAAAATATACAGTTATATGAATGGAACAGAAGTACGGCCCGCCCTCTGATGCAGGCTGGATACACCCAAATAATAAAAAAATGACAGTTTGTTAGTCAACTAAGAAATTTTCTTATTCCGAGAACCAAATTGTCAAGACTGAAGCCAAAAGGGTTTTGAAATTCTATTCATAACTATTCAAAGTGGTATTTCTCACTGAGATTTACGTTTTTAAAAAAAGAATTTGTAAACACATAACTACATTGAATTTTGTGATTCCCTAATAAATTATTTATTATTTTGTTAAAATAATTTATTATTTTTTATATATTTTATAAAAATATAAAACATATTTTATATTTGTTTTTTCCCCCCATTATCTGATAGAATTTTCTGAGTTAGGGCAAACAAGTCCTTCTTCCACATTGCATCCCTAACTTATGGGGTTCCACAAGGTTTGATCCTGGGTCCACAATTATTTTCCTTCTACATTCCATTTAGCTGGCATCATTAAATCCTTTTCTGACATTTTGTATCACTCTATTCTGATGACACTCAGCTGTATCTGTGACGGTGGATGTGGACCTAAGCAGCTGCAGAGGCCACTGTTTTCCTGTCTAGGCTAAAATGTTTTCAGTGGCACCATTAAGTGCTTATAAAATAAGTAACTGTGAAATTTATAGGCTACTTGGTAATCTTCCTAACATGTCAGGTTATGCCTTGTCAAAAAAAATATTTGAAATGATTTGTTATCACATCAAAATGTTTAAGTACGTAGAGTACAATGATTGTTGTGATGCTGAATTGGGTTTTTAAGCATCGTGTAATTCTATTGTGTACTAACTACTAAATTGCTGGTATCATGACATCCCTATACCAATGATCCAGCACTGTATGAGTAGCAGCAGCAGCATTTCTTGTGTATTATGTGCAGAAAGATGAATGATGAACACCTTCACATTGTATAAAATAAAAGAATCAGAAAGTTTGACATTGAGTTAATTTAACCCATTATAAGTAATCCAAATTGTTCTATAATTAAGTTCTTATTGTTTAATTACAAATTAACAAACAAGAAATAAAAAAAATGAAAAGTCGATACCTACATTTTAAAATATTCCATTAACAATCACTCAATGCAACTGATTGAAAATAATAATAGAGCTAAGAAACATTTAATAGAGAAGCGTTGTTATCTGTATTTTAAATTTTTAAAGTTTACAATGGCCGTTTAACACGTCTCTTTCCTCCTCTTCAGTTCACATCATCATGAACTCATGTTTGTAGTCTTGTCACAAAACTGCATCTTGGTTTCTTTAAATTCAACTGTTTTTCTCAACTGATTGAGTGAGTAACTACACACCTGTGACACATGCCACATACTCCAAATTACTAAAATATAAATATTTTAATAATTCCATTTGTAAAGGTACGTCTGACACGCACACTCTCCTATTATGTGCAACATCTGCGAAAGGGCAATTACGGACAATCCAGAATTCATGTGTAAAAACAACATAATTCTTTATTTATCCTGACACACGGACAGCGATTGTTCTCCCCTTTTTTGCTCGCTTGGCTGTCATGCTATGTGGTTGCTGGCGAGGTACCAATCCAAGTACTTACATGCCTCCAAAACCACATTGACTATAATGAGATTTGGTAAAATTACACAAAGAAATACAGCGTCCAAAGCCAAAATCACACAATCCAATACACTCAATACAATCACATAAACTGTGGTCACTCTTTCTTCTTCCAGCTGCATCACTAATAATTCATGACTGTTTTATTTAAAGTCCAAGTTCTTACGGGAAAATCAAAGACATAGGAACTATACAATATAATTAATCTAAAATCACTCTAGCCACACACATTTTTCATAAAGACCACATATGAAAATTATTACTTATTATAAGATCCCTTGCTATTTATTTAAATAAACCAACCATAAAAATATATGAAAGTTTAAATGGCCACAGGAGGTTAATATTTTTTTATTTTTTTTTAATGCCTATTGTCAACACTCAAACTTTCAAAGCCTTCCAAAGGTCTCTGCCTGCACTTTTCCAATTCTTGCCTTTTTCACTCATAATACTCAAGACAATAAAAACCAGCCAAGAATCCATGTCCAAATCATCTGGCAGGACTCAAAACATCTAGGGAACAAAAAGAACTACCGAGCCACGGACTGTGAAAAGCTTACCAATATGAAACCAGAAAACATCTGTTATGGTTCCGTAAAACTAATATATTATGGTGAGTGTTGGTCTGGAAAGGTTGAATACCACTTTTTTGTGAGAAACACAGCTATTTTACTAGCAACCGTTCATTTTGTTTTGGCGCTCTTTACTGCATCAATTGTGTCTGGATTTCTCCCTGCAGACAACTTAACTCTTCCACTTGCACCTGAAGACTGATCCGGTCCATCCAAAACCATAAATATACTTCAAATGACTGCTCTGTGTGACATTTCCTGCCCTTTATCTTGTCCATAAAATTTTTCCCACGTGATCCTTTGAAGAGAAACACAAATGTTACAGAATGGGCTGAATGTAGCTTTTTTGTATCTACTACAATTACTGAAAGAGTTTGACGTTTTACTTTGAAATACTTTTTTGGGCTTTTAATCAGGATTCTTATCATGAAAAAAAGTTCTTCCCACTTTATTGTCTCTTGTATATATTAGATTTCATTTTTTTTGTATGTTTGGCTTAAAGTTCCCCCTTTTCACATTTAGTGCACAACAGAGTTCATTTAGACACCTTATCACTAGTAGAAATACTAGATCAGGCTTTTGCCTGGGTAGAGAGTCTAAAGGGCAGGTCAGATGATGCCCACTCACACATTAGACTAGGGATATAACAATTCATCGAGTCACTCAAATAACTCAATTATAGGAAAAAAAACCTCAATACAAATTGTTTTAATTCAATGCTTCATTTAATCCACAGCTTGGTAGCGCTCAGTTGTCACCATGTAAACGTGATAATTTTACCAGCATTTGAGACTAAAAATAGATGTGCAATAGTAATGTATCTAGGGCCAAGCATGTGAATAAAAAAGTATTACAACATTAAGCCCATGCAGCCCCCAGTTTTTAAATAAAAACTGATAACTGATAGCACAAACACAGCAGACAAGATGACGTCATAGTTTAATGTGGAGCCGGAGTTTGTCTGCACACACGGAGAAGAGCAAAAAGGCTGAGCCATTACTGAAATGGTGAGCTCAGGTTAAGTGAAAGAAAATGTTTTTTCAAAACAGCAGCCCATGTAACTGTAATCGCCATAAAAACCTATATCAGGAAAAATATGGAAGGACTTTTTAATCAAATCATCTGTTCAACAGAAGAAAAGCTAACTTGATATATACAGTTAGGTCCATAAATATTTGGACAGAGACAACTTTTTTTCTAATTTTGGTTCTGTACATTACCAGAATGAATTTTAGTTGAATCAACTGACTTGGCTATTCAAGAATATTCAACTTCTTTGCTTTAATAAACTCCTGGGTCCTGCTTTGGCTGTATGTTTTGGGTCTTTGCCCATCTTTATTATGAAATGCCGCCAAATCAGTTTGACTGCCTTTAGCTGGATTTGAGCAGGTAGTATATCTCTGAACACCTCAGAATTGATTTGGCTGTGCCTGTCCCATTTCACATCATAAATAAACTCTAGTGTCCCAGTGCCACTGGCAGCTATGCATGCCCAAGCCATCACCCTGCCCTGCTGTGTTTTAAACATGATGCGGTATGCTTTGGATCATGACCTGTTTCACGCCTTCTCTCCATACTTTTTTCTTGCCGTCATTCTGGTAGAGTTTGATCTTGGTTTCATCTGTCCAAAGAATGTTTCTGACAGAACTGTGCTAGCTTTTTTTTTTTTTTTTAAAGTTTCATGCAGTCTTCTCTTTATGGTAGAGTTGGATATTGATACAGCTACCTCCTGGAGAGTGACGTTCACTTGGTTGGCTGTTGCGAAGGGGTTTCTCTCCACCATGGAAATGATTCTGTGATCATCCACCACTGTTGTCTTCTGTGGACGTCCAGGTCATTTTGCGTTGCTGAGTTCAACAGTTCTTTCTTTCTTTCTTTCTTTCTTTCTTTCTTTCTTTCTTTCTTTCTTTCTTTCTCAGAATGTACCAAACCGCAGATTTTGCCAGTCCTAAAATTGCTGCAATTTCTTGGATGTTTTTTTTTGTCCGTTTTTGCAGCTTAAGGATGGAGGATTTCACCTGCATGGAGCGCTGCTTTGACCCCATGTTGTCTGTTCACAGGAAAATCTCCCAAATGCAAGTACCACACCTCAAATAATTTCCAGGTCTTTTATCTGCTTAATTGATAATGATATAACGAAGTAACTGCCCACACCACCCCATGGACTAGCCTTTGAGTCAGTTGTCCAATTACTTTTGGTCCCTTTAAAAAAAAAAAAAAAAGGAGCACGTGTTAAGGAGCTGAAACTCCGAAAACCATTATCAATTTGAATGTGGATACCCTTGAATGAAAGCTGCTAGTCGGCACATTATGTACATGTCTATTATATAACTATAATTGGAATATGTTTCAGTAAACGAGTAAAAAAAAAACCCCAAAAAAAAAACCTTGTGTTAGTGTCCAAATATATATGGACCTAACTGTACTAGATAAGACAGAGAGAGATAGTCAGGAATATGCACTTTTCCCTAGCAAGCTGAGGTTGCCGTCACTGAGTAACTAACAGGTCTTTACGCCTGCATGAATTGGGCTTTAGTAATCAATTTCACAGCAAGTGCCAGCTGCCACTCACCAACCTTTCAGAGAATGCACATTTTCCCTTGGAACCATTGGTTGCCAGAGAGGTCTCGAGGCCTTTGTGGTTGAGACCTTAGCATGGCACTTAATTTAACATGCCAAATGGTATAGATATTTAAAATGACTTCTTATGTCTCCCTTAAATGTAAGTAAAGGCCTTTAAATGTTGCATCTTGTAGTTTTACTGGCTTTGGCTTCTTTGCTGGACTATCTCGCTACAACATTAATTTAAACATATCCTCTAAATTTGAGCAATAAAGTTCAACATAGGGATGTGTTTGAATACTTACATAATAAGGGTCTTGGATGATCAGCTGCTTCTGGGGGTCATAAGAACCAAGAAGCTCAATTTTTGCTGTGTAGTCTTTCACGGACTTTGACTTCCGTTTCAAGTCACTGCAAAGGTGAGAGAAAACAAGTAACTCCAAAAGAACAGAGCACGAAACAAGGGAGGTTTGAGCACCTCTGGATTAAAGAGGTCACATGCTTCTAAATATTTGAGATAATGTTGTATAGTGTTTATTGTCTGCCTCTTATTCTAGCATTCCTCTAATAATAATTACATTCATGTCATTAACTTTAAATCAGTGATAAATAATAAAACAGTGTAGTTTGGAAACATACAGAGTACATAAATGAAAAGTAACACCTTAACATGTTTAAGTCAATCCCAGACAAAAGCAGCACAACAGTAGGTCAAAGAATTAATGAATTCTCAGTCTGGCCAGCTTAAAATTTGTAGGAAACAAAGTGTGCAGGGGGAAAAGAAAAGACTGCCCAAAGAGCAAAGACGAGGCATCCAAAGAACTCAGTAAGCTGCTTACAGATCAGATCTGCCATGGGCATGTGATCTCAAAATGATCCTTAAACGTTCAAAGTAGCAAAAAATATCCCTCCCCCTGACCTCTGCAAAGAGCTTAAGAAAGGATATTGGTCATTAAAGGGAGGCATTCTCCTACAAGGCATTTATAGCTCAATGTCCCCACCATTTTTATGTATGCATGTGAAAGAACAGCACAGATAAACGTCATGACAGCAGGACACACTAGTTTGGACCGTTACAAGACAAATGTTTTTTGACACTTAACACATGACACCAGCGCTTTCAGTGTCTAAGTATCCAACCGTGATCGACACTCTTAGAAAAAAAATAAACACTGCTGCTGTGGGCTGAAATAACTCTACCTCAGATTGCTCTCGTCCATGCACAGAATGTGCTCAAAGCTCATGAACTCTTCCTTGGTCACCTGCAAGAAGAACAAAACAAATATTACTTTTGGCTCTGTGTGGAAATACAGTATGACCAGCAGAGACTCCCTCTGGTCCTTCAAAGAGGGCTGAATGGGTTATGCAGCTAAAAGAAAATAAAAAAGCAGCTTTTTCACTGACACATTAAACCTCTAAAGACAAGAAAAATAAGACAACTCAGATCTTATTAAATCATTCATTTATCATCTGCCTTTTTAGTAATAGCTTTTGGATGTAGTTATATTATGTCAATATTTTTAATTACGTTTCATTGTTCGTAATGGAGGCCAGCATCCATGTGCTGGATTCCAGCTGCTGTTACATGCACAAAGAATTTTTAAAACATAAATAAACTAATGTTGCATTTTCAACAAGTCACACAAGCCTTATTTTCCCATCTATTCCTCCTCCCTCCTTCTCCTGCTCAATGGCTAACTCATTTTAACGTGAAAAAACAAGGTCGCGTTTATAACAACTTGAATTCTTGATTCTTGACCTAGAGGAAAACCAAGTTAGGGAAAGGAGCACGTCTGTATGCCTGTGGAGGGGTTTATACAGTTTTCACTGCATTCTGTGATGATTTAATGGCACAAGCAGCAATAAAAACAAAAAGAAAAAAAATAAGAAAAACAGGCAACACCCCGAATACTTTTAAAGTATTTTGACAGTGGATTTATAGGAATGCCAAGGAGAAGCTAAGGGCAGAGAGAAACAAATGAGAGCACAGAGGCATGAATAAAACTCCTGCATAGCTCCAGATGTTGACATATGGACACAATAACAGTGACAGCTTGTAACAGCAGACGGGTAAAAAGATGTTCATTACAAATGTTTTCGATTATATTCACGCAGCGAAACGCTCCAGCCACTGCAGTCTGATCACTGTATTTCACCCATTCTCACACTTTCACATCCTCTCTCTCACACACAATGATAATCTGTGTTGATCATAATCTCAGTGCCTGCTTCTTTCACAGTGTAAATGAAGCAGTGGTAATCCTCTATCAAAAAGTCTTGTGCAAGACCTCCTCACAAAGTTGACAGAGAGCTTAGTTTGGTATCTGAAATCTTTGGCTAAGAATGAGCAAGGAGGTTTTTATGGAAAGCAAAGAAAGAGTCGGGAGACACTCATAGAAAAGTTCACATTAAGATAAAATGTGCAAAATAAAACCAAAGGAAAGCCAGGAAGGAATGTGATTGGAAATCTAAAAGTTAATGGTTCTTTTTAACAAAAAAGAAGAATTTGACATGTCACCGTGCATGTTGGTTTACCGTCATACTTTAACAAAAGAGGTACTTGTTGATATGTGATTCAGGAAAGCTGTAAATTTATTTTGCCCTATATCTTCATTCAACAAGGTTCTTCTATGTGAGGGAACAAAAACCTTGCACGCCTGGCCAGTCAGCCACTGAAATTTGCCTCCTTGGTGACACTTCAGACATTTGCGTCTTTAGCCTGTGGTGATAACAAACATGTCCTCTTGTTGTAGTTAAATTTCAACATATGCTGAACTTGTTAAGTTTATAAAAGGAGCAAAAAACAGACACTCTGTAATGTAGTTGTTAGTAGATTTAAGTGTTTAGTAACGCTCTCGTGGTTATATGGAGTACAGTCTGAAGACACTTAATATGTTTATACACTTTATATAAGGTTATGGGTGATGGGGAAAATTATAAAATATTGTAACATTTCATTTATTAATATTTATCCAATTTCATAAAGGTTTTTTCGCAAGTGGTTGCCACTGCAAAGAGCTCTGTATATCCAGTATGGCACAGATTTTTATGCCCTTATGCCTGTCCTTTCCGATGCAACCCTCCCAGGGATTTGTGTGTTCTTGCCTCAAACTAAGGATCTTTTACAGGTTAGGTAAATGTGATAACTACTACACTGTAAAGCCACCACTGATCCTATTTGTGGAATGAATTAACTAAGAATAAATGGGAAAAACAAGCAAGTAAAGATGGAAGTAGTTAAGAGGCATAAAAGGAAAAAAAACAATCAACATGCATAGAATAAAACTTTAAAATGATACATATAAATGAATAATGAAAACGACACATAATAAAGCCCTAAAAATCATATGGATCTGTGTGATATATAGTATACATAACTCAATTTCTTATAAAGAAATAGTAGCGGAGTGATTTTAAGTTCTGTTTTACTACTCTGTGGGGAAACAGTCTTAGAAAACACAAAAAAACAAAACACTAAAACACTGCTGTAAGCAGGTACTAGGGCTGTGCGATAGGACCAAAATCTCATATCCCGATATAAGAATTCTATCGTCCCGATAACGATATAAATCACAAAAATGTAACATTTTCTGTAAATTCTGTGAATCTCGGGCAGCTCGACTTGCGGGAAGTGTTTCCAGCTGCGCGTCACGTAGCTGGAGTCGAGTGTTTTAACAGATGCATGAAACGATACATTTTTAGACACAAGTTGTAACAGCCGCAGTTTTCTTTGTGAGTATTTATTACACGGGGTGCTGCGGGGAAAAGCCTGTTCTAACGTTTGAGTCTAAGGTTTATTTTTTAGCACCTGGCGGCTCTTTTTTACTTCTCATCCGTAAATAATCTGCTTTTTCACGTGATTCAGTTTATTTTGAAAAGTCTCAACAGGATCTTGAGCTTTATTGTGAAAGGTTTGTGTGGAACATAAACAAGCGGACACGTGCTGATGTTACCGTTGTTGTTGCTAACCACAACGCATAAAAACAGGCGCTTGTCCGTAGTGTGGTTATATTAAATATAAGAGAAAGAGAGAACTTTAAGAAATTAATATAGCCACTACAGTGACCATCAAAACGATGAAAAAATATTGCCGTAAACAGTTTATTTTGCGACACCACGAAACAAATGATAGCGTAAAATGAAACGATAAACGTTTTTATATCGTCATCCGATATATATCGTTATATCGAACAGCCCTAGCAGTAGGGCTGCACGATTAATCGTTAGAAAATCGTGATCTCGATTCATACTTATGTGCGATCTCATTTCCAAATGACAACGATTTTAAAAAAAAGAAAAAAGAAAAAAGATGACGACGATTGTACTGCATTTTGATCTGGGACGTAATCTGCATGAAAACAAGCGCTCACTCTTCCTGCTCAACAAATGACAAGGGCGGAGCCTTATACCACGTGATACAGAAGCTGTGCCGTGTGATGCTAAAATTAGCAGGGAAAAAACAACAGAGAGCACGTCAGGGATGACGAAAAAGTGACAGGAGAAAATCCTTCCCGGTCAACCACCCAAACATCAATAACGGGAACCTTATACAGCGCTTTCCTATACCCGTCGAACTCCCGCAGGCACAAAGAAATTACGGAGGCTATTACTTATCACCTGACCAAAGATATGGCTCCCATCGACACTGTGCAAAACCAGGGATTTAGGAAAATGATCAACACCCTAGACAAACACTACACAGTGCCGTCCAGCAACTATTTTTCTATTGTTGCACTACCTGCTCTATACACGCAGTGTCGAGCAACGGTGTAGACGGAATTTCAAGCAGTACAACATTTTGCGGCAACAACAAAACGTGAGAGATTTGTTGTTTTTATGTTTATTTATTGTTTTTATGTTCAGTCTCAACTGTTACGAAGTTGATGTGCAGTTAATAAGTGCAATAAATATTTATACTGGAAAAGAAAATCATGAGAGAATCGTGATCTCAATTCTAAGCCAAAAAAATCGTGATTCTCATTTTATGCAAAATCGTGCAGCCCTACCTAGCAGGCACATCTACATTTGTAGTTAATTATCTGTTTGCACACCAGCTTTCACTTGTGTTGTCGATTATAGTTCTAGCCAGTAATAAAATATAATATCTACATAATATCTACTTACAGTTATCATTAATGTGTGTTGAAGAAGCATTCCTTAGGAATTATCCAAAAAATAACCATTAACAGATAAGCTAAGATCTTTTCTTCATTAATTATGTTTGCACTTTTGAGTAATGGTGGGAAAAGGACGAGAATTCAGCTTGTAAAACTTATCTGCACAGCATCAATGCTGAACTGGTGACAGGTGAAATTAATGCGATTACTACAGGATGATGGTATTTTGGCTAAAAGTGTTCATTCCTCAAGTGTTGGTTTTACGATAATCAAATTGCAACTCTCTTAAATCTGATGTCTGGTTGTCAAATTTTTTATTACCCTCAGTTACTTGTTATGGATCACTTTGAAAAATATGTGTTTATAAAATAAACACACTTTTGTTTATTTGGGGATACACAGGTCTTTAAACGAGCTCCCAACTGGCCAGTTTGCTTGGACACTGGCCACGCCAGGCCTTCAGCAAAGTGGGAGGGTGGGTTATTAAAAAAGAAAACGTGGCAGAAAAGAGTGCTAAAGAAAAAGAGGAAAAAACAAGGACTTGTCAAAGCTTATTGTGTGGATTTGGTTGGGTTTAAGCCAAGGGTTGAGCCTTCCCATCCCTGCTTTGAGGAGATTAGATGAGGGTCTGACAGAACTGGTTTGCAGTAAGCCAAAACAAGGAGATGGGAGATCTCAAGTCTAGGGTGAAACACCGGAGATCTCTCAGTGTTTAAGGGCACTGGGGAGTAGGAGTTACTGTAAGGAGAAGCCAGCGCAGCATAAAGCCTGAAGCCATACATGGACAAACATCTTGGTGTAATTTCAGGCCTCTTTAAGGATTAGAAACATCTGTGCAGTGATGCTTGCTACACTGGCTTCATCAATATTTCACAAACGTCACAGGTGCCATCAACTTGAACATTAGTCTAGACCAGGGACTGGCTATCAGCTTCTTTATTACACTCAAAAATACTACCCCAACTCCTAAAAATGTTATACAGTTTGTGATATGTAAATAAAAACAGAATATTTTCTGAAATCCTTAAGCTGAGAAAATGAGCCATTTTAAGCCATTTTGCATTGATGGTGCAACACATCTCAAAACTCGCGACAAGTTCGTGTTTACCACCGTAAAACATCTCCTCTTCCTTTAACAACAGTCCATAAAAAACTGCAAAATGAGGAGACCAGCTGCTGATCTTTGGGTAAATTATTTTCTTTCCTTCTTGTCTGGTATAAGATTCTAGTTGCTCCACAGTCCTGGGTGTTCTTTGTCACATTTTTGGTTTCATGATGAGCCAAATGTTTTCAGTCTGCGAAAGGTCTGGACTGCAGGCAGGACAGTTGGGCTCTTCTTCTATGAAGCCATGCTCTTGCAATAGCTGCAGTATGCAGTTTGGAATGGTCTTGTTGAAATATGCAAGGCATTCCTAGAAAAAGGCATCATCTGAATGGGAGTATATGTTATTCTAAAACCTGTAAAATAGCTTTCAGCATTGCTAGTGCCTTTCCAGATGTGCAAAATATCAATTCCAAAGGCATTAATACACTGCTATACTATCAGAGCTGTAGGCTTTTCAACAGAATGCGTATAACCAGCTGGATCGTCCCTCTCCTCTTTACTCTGAGGGACGCAGCATTTTTAAGAAGAATTTTACATTTTAATTTCTCTGACCACAGAGCAGTTTTCCGCTTTGCTTTGGCCCAGAGAAGACTGTAGTGTTCTGGATTGTGTTCACGATTGGCTACTTCTTTGCATGACTCAGCTTTAACCTGCATTTGTGAATGGCATGACGAACTATGTTTACTGATCTATGCCTATTTTTCATGCAGTGCAACCCGAGGGGCCAAAGATCACAGGCATCAAATACTGATTTTTAACTTTGTCCCTTGCGCACAGAGTTTTTTCCGGATTCTCTGAATCTATTATGATATCTTGTACTGCAGATAATGAGATATTAAAAGTCTTTAATGTTGAGGAACATTATTCTCGGCCCTGGCCCAACTTATATTTACATTAAAATGGTTAATTTTCCCAAGTTTTTATGTTCTATTATGAATTACATTTTGGCTTAGCAAATATGGCAATTAGTGTATTGGGTTTATACAAACAAACTTTTTTTAAAAGGATTAGATAGCCAGTGCCTCAAAATGTTTTTTTAAAAATGTAGGCCCTTTTCCAAACAGGTTTAAAATTTACTTCAGACAGTTCTGTGGAAGATCCTGTTCTAGCGCATCTCGTTAACTCATGAGCAGGTTAGCTGACAGTCTCCTTTTCAAAAGAAAACCAGTTAAGCAGCTATCCCCAAGCAGCACAAACACGTGTTTCACTTCCTTCATGCTGCTGTTTGGGCACAATGTCTTGCAGTCTCTGTAATTAGCAACAGTCACCCTTCTCTACTAATTGAAAGATCCAAAGAGAAGAACAAACAGCAGAAACCAAAACTTCTAGCAGGTGGAAAGTTGGTTCTTGTGATTAGAAAGCTGACTACACAGACCTGGAGAATAGGTTTCTAGGATGACAGACTCCCTGGTAGGCAGCTGACTGACATCAAAAACAACCACAATAGCTATTTAACAGTTCTTCTGTAGACAGAAGAAAGCATGATGGAGCAGACTAACAGATCAAGACCTTCAGAATAAAATCCAAGTGAAACATGGAGTGTAGCCCAGTAACACTCAGCTGGTCTGTGAGCAACATCCATGCTACCACAAGAGGCCAAGATGCCTGAAAATCATCCTGTAATTAAGAGAGAAGACTGCTACCTACCCTTCTTACTCACTGTTTTAAGTATGTGACAATTTATTTTTAAAAATGTGATTGAGCAGCATTACATTCTCACATACACACGCACGCACACAAACTTTCCACTGCAGTGACAGCAGCTGTGGGACGTCTGGTTGTACCTGTCGCGCCCTGTGGTCCGTGTCAATGCCATGCTTCCTGAGGCAGGCTAGACCGCGGGCATCCGGTAAGCTGCCTAGATTCCAGTCTGATGTGGCACCACTGTCTATGATCCACTGCAACAGAGAACAAAAAGGGGGCGCTAGCTACGTCTTGAGAGAGGTGGTGGGTGATCATACCTGCCTGGCCACATGCCTCATGGGCACGCCATGCCTCTTCATGCAGGCTTGACCACGGTGGTCTGGAGGGTTTCCTATCTCATAGGTGGAGGTGGCAGCACTGTCTATCCTCCACTAGGCAGAACAAAGCACGGGAATCAGAAACTCAACAAAACCGAATTACAGTCTCATAAAGAAAGAAGTTTCTGTACAGAATAAAGGGCAACTCCACATTTAAACTGAAGGTAAATGTTCCTAATCATCTTTAGAGACTGTAAGCAGGTCGCTATTATCCAAATTGAATTCAGTGAGGAATTTTGAACTTTCATTTTTTCCATTTTAAATCAATGTACTGCAGTTAGTAGCAAAAGTTAATTTCATATAGAATTTCTCTCCAGAGACCAGGACTTTAAAACTGCGAAGTTAATTCTGCCAAATTAAAAATATATATTATCAACCAACCAGTATGAAGAAATAATTTTCCTCACTAATGCCAGAGGAAATATTTTTGAGACTAGTTCTTGATATGTTATTCATATTGTAGTGTTATACGGAATATGTAAAGGGCTCTTCAAACATGCAACACTGAACAGAACATTTAAGGTGAGTGGCTGACACTTCTGTTGTCATTTCCATAGTTGTATCAAATGGCAGAGTTAAAAACAGAAAAAATGTGTACAACAGATCTGTAGTGCGAAATGAAAACATATGTCAACAATGACTTTACCTGATCAACGATGCCACCATCAGTTGCCATCTTCCTGAAGACTGCTTCAGCAATGGGGGATCGGCAGATATTCCCTGTTCAACACCACAAACAACATCACCATATTAAAGGGATAAGGATATATTTAGAAAACTGCAATATCCCAGTGGTAATACACATAACTTCAGTATATCATAAAGATATATGTATGATATTTTAAAATACAAACTTTTCTGTATAAATGGATTTCGACTGCTAAAACAAAAAAGAAATGTATTGTGAAACTGACTAAAGCTCTATACTTTACTTTCGGACTGTGTCAACAACTAAAATGACTTAAAATCTTGAGTTGAGGCCAGATACTGATTAAGCTTTTTTCTTTCTTATTCTGTGCACTGTGATTGCTCCCTGGGACAGCATCTGAGGCATAACAGACGAAAAGGGGCAAAACCTTTACAATATTTTAACACCTGAAAAAATATTTCTAAAACTTAAGCTCATATTTTAACATTTAGACCCATGCAGAAGTCCAGCATAATACTGGCAACATCCAAAGACAATGGATTTACTGGGCATATATAAAACTCCTATTTGAAATACAGTCGCAACTTTGTGAACAGTGACTTTTTTTTTTTTAATGTCCTAAACAAAATCTAGAATCTCATAAAAGATCTAATTGAAGAGCAGACTTTTGGCTTAAATTTAATGCAATTAACATAAAACAAAATTTAAAAAAAATATATTTTAAGGGGCTTAATTAGTCAAATTGAATAAACCATAAATAAAATGTTCACAGCTTTTGTCTAACCCGCCTAATTATCTGTGTTGTTTTACAAAAGGCCAGTACTACTTGAACCCTTCCTCCAATTAGGATGTCAACAGCACCAGAGGTAAAAGTATGCAAAAAAACAAAAACAAAACCCTAAACGGGATGCTTTAGTAAATGGCTAAAATAACAACTAATCTGTTAATGTCCAAAATATATAACATAAAATCTATGTGTGTCTTAACATGTAATGTTTAAGTTACTGTTTTGGTAGTTGCATCAAGCAGTTTCTAAAATGTTTGATCACGTTTAGTATTTTTTCAGGGAACAGTCCATTGGTAAAGTAAAATCCTCTGTAGAAGCTTTAATGAAATGTGAAACTAATTATAATGAAAAATCTACCACTCAAATTAATAACAGAGCCAGCCTACACTCTGCTACATCTTGAAAACTATTTCAGAATTGGACGCATGTGCTTCAAATTATCTGCAGTGACGTTTCCGTGCTGAGGTGAGTTCCTGACAGCTTTCACTTTGGATTCTTTGAGCTTAGACACGTATCTCTCCAGTTAAACACGGACACCTTGCTTGACGTTTAAACATAAGGCTACAGCTGATTAGATACCAAACATACACACATGGAAGTTAAAAGTTTAAGAGCCTTAAGTGGAAAGTGTGTTTGACAGCTTCGCGTTCATTGTAAGGCAGCTAGTACATAGTTAGCACTCTGAGGTACATCTAACGAAGCTCAGTTCATTTCATTTATTAAAATGCGATGAGTTGACCTGCTGACAGAATGACATGTTTGCTTTTAAGCAGTAACACGTGTAAGTTTTAACTGAGGTTTTGTGGGTTTAAAAGACGTCTCTTACCCAAACAAACGAACAAAACCGACTTTGTACCCGTCGCCGCCATGTTGAAAGGTCCTGTACGACTACGACACCGGCTAACGTGGCGGCCAAGTACTGCCTGAACAAAAGTATAGCACGCTGACAGTGCTGAAGGGTTCAAGTATGAACCACATGCGCCTTAAATTTAAAGAGTATTACTCTCATTTACATTTACATTGGAAATTATAAGTGATACCAGATATCTGTGAGTAACATACAACCCAATGTAGTCCTACTGTCAGTCCTAAGCCCATATAATTGGGGACAGTAATATTAGGAAGTCCATCTGGTGTAAATCTGCCAATTTGACGTGATGATATGTTGAGGGATGGAAATTGAACATCTGCTGAAATATTCACAGAACAAAATATTGCACAAAATTTTTTAAACATAATCAATAGCAAGTCAGTGTGATTGTCTGCTCACACTCTTAATTTGCATTTATGGTACTGACAGCCCACGGGTAGAAGCTGTTCTATAAATGTACTAACGAAGAAGAATGAAGAGAGTATGACTGAAAGATAGGAGTGCGTTGAGAAGCTGATGAATCAGAATCAGAGAAACTTTATTAATCCCAGACGGAAACTGAGTTGTCATAGCAGCAAATATACAAGCACGCACATAAGATTAGTGTAGAAACAGAGTTATAATAGATAAATATTAAAATAAATAGATAAATATATGGATATAGGTATACATATAAATATAAAAGGACGAGTATGTGTGGAAATATTTTGCAGTGTACAAAAGTGACAAGGTGCGTTGAGGTGTGATTAATTCTGTTCCACATGTGTGGACCTGACCCAAGTGGATGAATTAAAGAGTCTGATAGCAGCAGGAAGGAACGACCACCTGTAACGTTCTCTCAGACAGCGAGGGCGAAGGAACCTGTTGCTGAAACTGCTCTTCAGATTGTCCAGTGTGTTATGGAGGGGGTGGGAGTCATTGTCCATGATTCCCAGCAGTCTGCCAGCATTTTGTCACTGATGACCAACTCCAGGGTGGCGAGCTTCATGTCAACAACAGACTCTGTCTTCCTGATGAGTTTGTTCAGTCTGTTTGCGTCCTTTGCTTTGATGCCTGCACCCCAGCACGCCACAGCAAAGAAGATGGTGCTCGCAACAACAGACTGATAAAACATGTAGAGCAGCCTGCTGCATAATTTGAAGGATCTGAACCTTCATAGAAAGTAAAGCCGGCTCGAACCCTTTTTGTAGGCAACATCCGTGTTGGCAGACCACACCAGCTTGTGATCCAGTTGAACTCCCAGATACTTGTAGGATGTGACTATTTTGACATCAGTCCCACGAATGCAGACAAGGGGATGGTTGGGATCTGTTTCTGCCAAAGTCCACCACCAGCTCCTTTGTTTTGGCCACATTCAGCTGCAAGTGGTTCTCCTCACACAACCTCATGAACCATGAATCATTCCTCTGTACTCCTCTTCCCTTCCCATCTCCACGCTTCCAATAATGGCCGTGTCATCAGAGAATTTCTGGAGGAGGCACATTTCTGTGATGTACGGCTGTATAGATGATGAAGAGGAAAGGGGACAGAACAGTTCACTGGGGTGCTCCTATGTTGCTCTTCAGACTCTGACACACAGCTCTGCAGTCTCACAAACTGCGATCTGCCTGTCAGGTAGTCAGATGGAGAAAATGAGAGACAGGAGCACTGATGGAGTAACTGATGGACCTGCTCTACCACCTGCTCTACAGCCCCATGACTCGTTGAAGCTAGTTCAAGAAGAGAATCAGCAATATGATTTCATGCTGAGAAAGAACACTACAGATGCAGTGTTAGCAAAGATTAACACTGTGGTACTGCGTGAGGAAGTTAGGCGTGGCAGAGAAGTATGTGAGGGTGGTAAAGGACATGTATGAGCACAGTGAGACAATGGTGAGGTGTGCAGTTGGAGGGATGGATGGGTTCAGGGAGGTGGAAGTTGGGATTATATCGTTATACACTGGCTTTGAGCCCATTCTTGTTTGCAGTGGTGATGGACAGGCTGACAGATAAGGTCAGACAGGAGTCTCCATGGACTATGATGTTTACGAGCATTTGGAAGAGAGCCTGGAGAAGTGGAGATGTGCTCTTTAGAGAAGTGGAAAGAAACTTAGTAGAAGTAAAACAGCATATGTATGTGGATGACAGTGAGACAAGTGGAAAGTTCAAACGGCAAGAAGCAGAGGTCAAATGTCTAGTTCTGCTGGTTCATTATGAGTCAGTAAAGGACTAGATGTTACAATCCCAGACAATGCATTGCTTTTAATGGAGAAAATCTTGAGGGATGGTTGTTATGAGGAAAAGCAGCCCAGAAACTTTACCACATCGTTGTGTGGCACAACTTTAGTTCTTTTACCCAAGCTAACCTGCCATTTTCCATGGTTAGGTTTAGGGATTAGAGATCTGATCTAAATTGTTAAAATTTGGGACACATAGTCAGTAGTGGACCTTGGATTCATCGGGTGTTTCGGCCATTATCGCTAGACACCCTCATCCAAGGAGGCCCTGCCAGGGTTGATCAGGCCCTGGAGCATGTCAATAGTTTATGTTAAAATAAACAATTAAAGGTGGAGTGGAGAATTCAGAGTTATAGAAGTCCAAGCAAAAGACAAACCTCAAAATTAAAAACTAGACATTGCAGGAAAAATTGAAGCAAGAAATGTAATGATAAATTTGAGGCAAAGACTTGCAAAAGACTATTTAATTCTGGTCCCAAGTCATCAGCTTCAGACTGACTAAAAGGGAATAATCAGAAGAGCAGGAACCAAAGTGAAAAAGCATGTAACATGGCAAGAATCTAAGTGTTATGTACTGAGATCTGAAAATTTGCTGTGCCATGCTTTTTAATCTCTCTTTCTGCTTCTTACCCTCACCTTAGCCAGTGATGACGACTATTGCTAATTGAAGGGGACACACTAGTTCTAAGAAGAAGCTCAAAATGACATGGGTAAATGGACTGTAGAATGACAGATCAAAATATTACCTCGAAAAACATTTTAAAGAGCAACCTGCCAGGAAATTGTCAAAAAAAAAAAAGTTAGTTTTAGTTGGTTTTCTTAAATATGTTGCTATTTAAGATAATCTTCAGTGTTTCATTAAGTGAAGCAAGTTTAGGCCTGTGATTCACCTTTGAGGAATGTTTAAGAATATTTTTTTCTTCTTTTTTTAATGATGTCTTTAAGTGGAAAACCTAGCAATTAGATGCAGGTGGTATTATCTATATCCACCACTGGCCCCAAGCCTAATCCCCCCCCTTCAATGCCAACTCGAATATGATAATGAAGGATCAAAGCTGTGTAAGTTCAAGCAGGTAAACAAATGTCTCTGGATAACAAATTTTTGTATGCTTGAATTATTTATAGGTCAGTGTTAAGTGACTTAAACAAACAGACAAAAGACATTCCTCTGAAAATGATCAGGTACAATGACTGGACTGAAAATTATTGAAAATTCAGCCAGTATCCAAAGAAAATAGGCCCATGAAGTATGTTTCAAGAAGGATAACAGTCATGCTTTCTATGTACTAGTTTCAAATAATTATAGCATTTAAGTGATTCTCGAGTCATTGCATTTTTATGATATTTACATTTTAAAACGGTTCCTTCCTTGTGGAAATAGATGTTGTTTGCTCATTTCCTCTGGTTTGCCGCTGTATTAAATATGCTTCATTACTAAATTTAAAACACTGTACTTAAGAAATATTATTCCTAAAACCATGTTAAAGGCTGTAATACAAAACAGTCTTTTTTTGGCACAAATGTCAAAACACAATAAAACTACATTAAATTAAAAAAAATGGAATAGCAAGCACTCTGCAAGTTCAGACAGTATTTATTATAAATATTTCAAAAGAAATGAACATTAGTACAAAACAAGGCTGTTTGGGGAAGAATGGTTTCAATGCATTTTAATGGCTGGCTTAACTGTTCTGAGAGCATGAATGAATTCCTGGAAAAAATGCTCCTAATTGACTGAAAAACAGCAGCTTTTCATTATTGGTCATAGCATGCGCTCATTACCATGATCGCCTTCTTTTTCTTTTTTTCCCAAGCTGTATTTTCATTTTTAAATTAGAAAACAAACACAAACAAACAAAGCAACAACAAAAAAACCCCCCAGAAAACTCACAACTATGGGACAGAGCAAGTATCAATAAATAACCACAACATGGCAGGCCATTGTGACCACAGAAGCACTCCCAGGTACACACTCTTGTATCTATGCCTTTCAAGGATAACCTCAGACATCTGAAAACTAAACACAGAAAATACAAGCATAATAATAATGATGACAATAATAATAATAATAATAACATAACAACATTGATAATTACAGAATTTTTTTTAAAAACAAACAAACAAAAGAAACAAAGAACTCAAAAAAAGTGAGCAAAACACATCATGTAAACCCCCTCCCACCATCCCCCCACCCCTTTACCCCTGTATGGCTCTCAACCTCATCACATTTGTGTATCCAGACAGTTTCTATAGAAACTCTCATGCACAGGAATCAACATCCCCCACGATAAAACTGCAGCATTCAGGAAATCGAGTCAGGAGGGCCTAACCGGGGATCAAATCAAGGCAGACCCAGATTTGCGTCATCTCTATGATCTATTAGGTCCAAAGACGGTAGTACTGCCAGGAAGGGGCCCCAAATTTCTTCAAAGTTTCCATATTTCCCTTTTACACTATGCGATATCTTCTCAGGTGTGCAGTAGGACGCTAGCTCATTAATCCAGTGTCTCAATTTTGGAGAATTTTCAGATTTCGAATATAGCAGAATACATTTTTTCACTGCAGTACTCGCAAGTAAAATAAAATATCTCTTATGGTAATTTACATTAATAGAACCTGTGTCACCTAGAATTATAGTTTTGGGTCCAGTTCAATTTGGATCCCCATTACCCTTGAGATTATTTCAATGGCCCGTCTCCAGAACTCTTCTATCACTGGGCAATGACACAGCATGTGCAGGAGATCATAATCTGTCACCTTACATCTCAAACATTTGGGGGAATAATTATTATCAATTTTATGTAACCTATAAGGGGTGTAATATATCCTATGAAATATATTAAATTGCATTTGCCTGTGTTTTGTGGAAATTAACATGGTCTGTGCCTGTTCCAGTAAATGGTGCCATTCTACCTCTTCATAGACATGGCCCAGGTCTGTCTCCCATTTTCTTTTTA